CAGTTTCCATGAAGCTGTGCGGTTCTGGGTTAGTTTTTGAATTCTGAGTTCCAACTTGATTGCACTGTGGTCTGAGAGATTGTTTGTTACAATTTCCATTCTTTTGCATTTGCTGAGGAGTGATTTACTCCCAATTATGTGGTCAATTTTAGAGTAGGTGTGATGTGGTGCTGAGAAGAATGTATATTCTGTGGCTTTGGGGTGGAGAGCTCTGTAAATGTGTAATAGGTTTGCTTGGTCCAGGTCTGAGTTCAAGTCCTGGATATCCTTGTTAATTTTCTGTCTGGTTGATCTGTCTAATATTGACAATGGGGTGTTAAAGTCTCCAACTATTATTGTGTGGGAGTCTAAGTCTCTTTGTAAGTCATTAAGAACTTGCCTTATGAACCTGGGTGCTCCTGTTCATAAGAACTTGCCTTATGAACCTGGGTGCTCCTTATGATCCTGGGTGCATATATATTTAGGATCGTTAGCTCTTCTTGTTTCATTGATCCTTTTACCATTATGTAATGTCCCTCTTTGTCTCTTATGACCTTTGTTGCTTTAAAGTCTAATTTATCAGAGATGAGAATTGCAACTCCTGCTTTTTTTTGCTCTCCATTTGCTAGGGGGAATCTTCTTCCATCCCTTTATTTTAAGCCTTTGTGTATCCTTGCATATGAGATGCGTTTCCTGAATACAGCACACCGATGGGTTTTGTCTTTTTATCCAATTTGCCAGTCTGTATCTTTTGATTGGGGCATTTAGTCCATTTACATTTAGGGTTAGTATTGTGTTGTGCAAATTTGATACTGCCATTTTGGTGCTAGCTGGTTGTTTTGCCCTTTAGTTGAGCTGGTACTTGTTGTTCCTTTATATGTGTAGCGCCTCTTTCAGGAGCTCTTGTAGAGCTGGCCTGGTGGTGACGAAATCTCTAAGTACTTGCATGTTCCCAAAGGATTTTATTTATCCTTCACTTATGAAGCTTAGTTTGGCTGGATAGGAGATTCTGGGTTGAAAGTTCTTTTCTTTAAGGATGTTAAATATTGGCCCCCACTCTCTTCTGGCTTGTAGGGTTTCTGCTGAGAGATCTGCTGTGAGTCTGATGGGCTTCCCTTTGTGGCTAACCTGACCTTTCTCTCTGGCTGCCCTTAGTATTTTCTCCTTCATTTCGACCCTGGTGAATCTGATGATTATGTGCCTTGGGGTTGCTCTTCTTGATGAATATCTTTGTGGTGTTCTCTGTATTTCCTGGATTTGAATGTTTTCCTGCCTTGCTAGGTTGGGGAAGTTTTCCTGGATAATATCCTGAAGAGTATTTTCCAGCTTGGATTCATTCTCTTCGTCGCATTTAGGTACACCTATCAAACGTAGATTAGGTCTTTTCACATAGTCCCATATTTCTTGGAGATTTTGTTCATTCCTTTTTACCCTTTTTTCTCCAGTCTTGCCTTGCCATTTTATTTCATTGAGTTGATCTTTGACCTCTGTTATTCTTTCTTCTGCTTTGTCAATTCGGCTGTTGATACTTGTGCATGCTTCGCGAAGTTCTCGTGTTGCATTTTTCAGCTCCATCAATTCACTTATATTCCTATTTTGTCCATTCTCGTTAGCATTTCATCAAATCTTTTTTCAATATTCTTAGTTTCTTTGCATTTGGTTAGAACATGTTCTTTTTTTTTTATTTTTTTGTTTTTTGGTGGGTGGGGGGATGGAGTTTCGTTCTTGTTACCCAGGCTGGAGTGCAATGGCGCGATCTCGGCTCACCGCAACCTCCGCCTCCTGGGTTCAGGCAATTCTCCTGCTTCAGCCTCCTGAGTAGCTGGGATTACAGGCACACGCTACCATGCCCAGCTAATTTTTTGTATTTTTTTAGTAGAGACGGGGTTTCACTGTGTTGACCAGGATAGTCTAGAGCTAGAACATGTTCTTTAAGTCCACAGAAGTTTCTTACTACCCACCTTCTGAAGTCTGATTCTGTCATTTCATCACACTCGTTCTCCCTCCAACCTTGTTCCCTTCCTGGTGAGGAGTTGTGATCCCTTGTAGGAGGACAGGTGTTCTGGTTTCAGGTGTTTTCATCCTTTTTGCACTGGTTTCTTCCCATCTTTAAGAATTTATCCACCTGTCGACTTTGTAGTTGCTGGCTTTCAGATTGGGTCTCAAATCTTTCACATTGACATTCTGTTTGTTGATGATGAGATTATTTCTGTTTCTTGGTTTTCCTTCTGACAGTCTGGCCCCTCTGCTGTAGGTCTGCTGAGTTTCACTCCAGGCCCTGCTTGCCTGGGGTTCACCTGCAGCAGCTGCTGAACAGTAAGGGTTGATACCAGTTTTCTTCTTCTGCTATCTTTGTCCCAGAAGGATATCCGCCTAGTGTCAATCTGATCTCTCCTTTATGAGGTGTCTCTTTGGATATACAGGGGTCAGGGAGCTGCTTGAGGAGATGGTCTCTTCTTTATAGGAGCTCAAATGGTGAGCTGTGAGCTCTGTTGTTCATTCAGAGCTGCCGGACGGGTACGTTTAGGTCTGCTGCAGTAGAACTCATAAACTGCTTTTTGTTCCCAGGTGCTCTGTCCCAGGGATTTAGGGCTTTATTTATGAGTTTCCGTTATGCTGCTGCCTTCTTTTTTTTTTCCTTCAGACATTCCCTGCCCAGCAAGGAGGCAGCCTGGTCACTGACTGCCTGTAGAGGCTTTGCTGAGCTGCTGTGGGCTCCGCCCAGCTGCCGAGTGAACTTCCCTGTAGTCATGTTTATATGGGTGTAGTTAGAACTGCTTTGGCGATGGTGGCCCTCCTCTGTTGAGGCGGAGTCTCTGCTGTGGCGGGTTGCCTTGGCAACGGCGGGCTGCCTCAACATTGGCCGACTACCACCGTTGTGGCTGGCTGCCTCGGTAATAGCGGACGCCCCTCCCCCACAGAGCTGGACCGTCCCGGGTTCGGCTGCGCTTGCTGTGAAACTCTCAATCCAGAGTTTCTGGTTGCTGTTCTTTTGTAGGGTGGGACCAGTCAAGCCTGATCGCCTGGCTCCCTGCCTCAGAGCCTTTTTTAAGTTGGTATTCCAGTCGCCTGTTGAAGAGGCGCCGGGGTCTGTTTGTTTTCCCCTGCGGCCACTCACTGCGCTGGCTTAAACAGCTGCACTGAGGTTTGTGGCGCTTTTTTTTTTTTTTTTTTTTTTTTTGCCCTGGAATGTACTGTCCTGGTTCTCTGCTCAGTCCCCTTTTTAAACAGACAAATGGGTGACTTCCCATGGCTCCAATCGCCAGCCAAAAGGGCACCAGGACCGGTGTATTTTGTACGGAGAACCGCTGCTCCGGGGCGCTGACAAAGCAGCCGCGCGGGTCAAAGCAGCGGCACTGGCCGGCACAGCCGCGCTGGCCTAAACAGCCGCGCTGGTGACCAGTGGAGCTCCTCCGCCTGGGAATTTCCTAGTCTGTGGGCAATAAAAATGCGGCGTCCACTCACCCTCTGTGCTTTCACTGCGAGCTGCAATCCTGAGCTGTTCCTAAACGGCCATCTTCACAAGTGCCATCCTGATTACTTCTTGCTTCTTATAATAAAATATGAAAGAAGAGAGGTTAATTAAGGGAAGAACTATTAAATAAAAAAAAAACTAAGGATTGATGGTTTTGAAAATTCTCAGCCTGTCCTCATGCAAAGGCTGTTAAAATTAATAAATTGCTTCCAAAAATGTGACACAGAAAAAAAGGTGTACCTATACAACCTTTTTCTCAAACCTGAGAAAGATCAAAAGTTCACAGTATTCAGTCACAGAGGGCCCTTTCAAAAGAGTAAATGTGTGCTTCACAAATCCTCTCAATCAAACTGTAAGGCCTGTAGGAATCTTGAGGCCCTTCAGCCATCTCCAAATAACCCAAAGATAGAGAAAGTATTATCATGAAAAATAAGTGTGGATGTGGCCTTTGTATAATGACGTGAACACCATCAAAACCAATTGAATACCACCCCTCCACCCAAGTTTTTGATAAAAGTGTTTCAGCAAAAACAGTGCCAGATGGTACTAAAACTGATGGAGTACAAAATGATGACAGCCTGTTGGACCTAAAATTGCTACTGGTGCTGAAGCAGGTGGACACAATCACTAAGCAGCAAACACATGCAAATCCTGTTTTACAGTTGTTTTACCATGGGCTAAGGGTGAGATGGGAACACCTATTTAGGGTATTTATTTTGCAAAGGTTTAAATTATAAGATGTTTTCTCCACTGACAAAATTCTCTGGAAGAACTAGTTGTAGTGACTGTGTCATCTACCTTTTGTTCTCAAAGACATTAAAAATTTTTCTGATACCATTGAGTGTTCTCAGTATTTGACAGGGTTGATTTCAGGGTCTCCTAAAACAGGTAGGAGAAGAAATGACAACCAAGCAGACTTTTGTGACTAATAGTTATTATAAAAAGTCTTTTTGAGAAAGCTGATTTTGTAAATTTTGCTAACAGCCTGCTTTTATGCAGAAAATCTCCCCAGGGGAAGAGATCAGTATACAGTTTACAGGTACAGTTGGTAAGTCAAACCCAGAAAGCTTTCTGGTAGAAACAGATGTTATGGTTGCAATTGAAAACTTGTTCTCTGGGTTAGGGTTGGTGCCCTGCCATAGAGAGAAGTGTTTTTGAGGGAGTAGTATAGTTTTTAGATTGCTATTGGTTTGAATGAGTCACTAAATTGATTATTGTGTGGTGAGTTCTGTCAAATAATCCTTATACAAAAATCTTCAAGGTCTTCTTAACGCATTGAAAAAATATATTAAAAATCCATGAGATTTTACTACAGTACGGTAACTGGCTACACCATTATTGTTTTTTTCCCTCATCTCTTGCGATGGTTCAATTTCACTATTCTTTTTTGTTTTATTTATTGTTTTAGTTTTTCCAAATGGTCAGACTCACTTCAGGGTTTTCAGTCAATACAATAATTTCTGGCTGAAATGCGTATTTATTCTCCTGCCTGAAATACACATATGCACACATATACTTGTGATATTTTTAAAAGTAATTCCTGGCCGAGTGCAGTGGCTCACTCCTGTAATCCCAGTACTTTGGGAGGCCAAGGCGGGTGGATCACGAGGTCACGAGTTCCAGAGCAGCCTGGCCAATATGGTGAAACTCCATCTCTACTAAAAATACAAAAAATTAGCCAGGTGTGGTGGTGTGCACCTGTAATGCCAGTTACTCCAGAGGCTGGGGCAGAAGAATCGCTGAACCCAGGAGGTGGAGGTTGCAGTGAGTCGAGATCACGCCACTTCACTCCAGCCTGGGCAACAGAGCCAGACACCATCTCAAAAATAAATAAATAATAAATAATAAATAATTCTGATTTATTTAGGAAACTTTGTTTACTTCCAACCTAAATTTGTTCTTCCTCTTGAAATTTCTAATAAGTAGTGCTTTTCCTTCATTTCATTCATTATATTTTATTATTATTTACTTGTGAGATTTAAAGAAAATCTGTTATTTCTATTGCACTATAATTTCCATGAGCATAAGGATTTTGCCTTTTTTATTTATCATGATTAACCTGTGTAGGTCACTACACCACGTAGAATATATAAAATATCCAATCAATATTCAGAGATAAATTAATAAATGAATATAAGTAAACCTTTCTTAATATAAATTTTTGTACACATGTATATTTAATATAATTTCCTCAGCACTCTTCTTCCTGTTTTTGTTATATGACCTGATATTTTTGTAATTTAGTAGAAATTTTAAATTCCTGTTTATGTGACTGTACTTTGAAAATTTCCATTTAGCCTAAAGAAAACAGTAGTTTGTTCTAGTCACATGTTTCAGAATTAAGCCTTCATCAGTCATCTTCCTGGAATAAATGACCTATAAATAGCTTCTTATTATTCGCATAGTCCAGAAGAGAGCATGGCAGCACTTCTATAATAATGCATGTAAAAACATGCATTGTTTGGGAGAAAGGGAAATTGGTATCCTTTAAAATTTTTCTGCATACTATCTCTTTCCTGACAAAGCACACCCAATACTATTATCTTCTAATTTCCTGATTTTCGTTTTTGTTTTTTTGAAATTACAGAAATGTAAAAATATCTATCAGCATAATATGAGAGAAGCCAGGAAAGATGGGTCCTAGCTTCCCTCACGACACTCATTAATTTACTTGAATGAAAAAATTATTTCTTGTTTTCTAAGTTTCAACTTATCATCTGCAAAATAAGTGTAATGTATATTGACTTAAAGCCACAGAACTGCACCAGACCATGCTTTGAGAATCTCTCACCTCCAGCATCTATCATACGGCTTGAGAAAGAGACAGCATATCAAAATGGAGCTGCTGCTTAACCATAGAGCACAAGTAAGTCTTACCTACATTTAGGACAAATAAAACAAAGTTTGAATAGAAACTACAAAACTGACATTTTCTTTATGAGAAAAATTTTAAATAAAAAGTCACTGTAGGCGTCTTCTCTCTCAAGATTTTCATCCCTTTCTCAGCCTGTCAGTTAGCTATATTCATGTTGATCTATTTAATATTGGTTAAAAAAAAAAGGAAAATGTTATTTTAAAAAATTGAACAAAGAACTGCATATTTAATTACCCAGGCTTTCAATTCATTTTTTATTTCTCCAATTATACATTCTCATACATAAATAATACATTAAAAGCAGTAAGTGAATATTCAATCATTTTAGAGTCTACTTTTCTCAAAAGTCTGTGAAATACAGATCTCTAAGCAAGAGGAAAGACTCCAGGGTCTTTACACTTCTGGGTGAACTAATTTGTAGGTAAAAGTTCTAAGAATTGTTACGGTCTGCTGGCCACTGGCTGCATGAAATGCCATGAGTTTATTTTATCCATCCTCCAGTGGGGGTAGATGCAGACACTGGCAAGAAAAAAGAGTTATTTTAAAGAGATCATGGACATCAAAATCTTTCAGTTTGGGAGCAGGGTAATGAGGAAGTAGTAGAGCTGAGGCTGCCAGGGTTCCTGTTCTGTCTGTGTGAAATGCTGTACAGCTTTTGGTTTTGCATCTCCTTTAAAATAAAGCATCTCTTTTTTTTTTGAGACAGAGTCTCACTTTGTCGCCAGGTGCCAGGCTGGAATGCAGTGGCACAATCTCGGCTCACTGCAACCTCCGGCTCCCGGGTTCAAGCAATTCTCCTGCCTCAACCTCCCCAGTAGCTGGGACTACAGCTGAATGCCACCACACCCAGCTAATTTTTGTATTTTTAGTAGAGACGGGGTTTCACCATGTTGGCCAGGATGATCTCCATCTCTTGGCCTTGTGATCCGCCCGCCTTGGCCTCCCAAAGTGCTGGGATTACAGGCTTGAGCCACTGCACCCAGCCAAGGCATCCCTTTAAAAAAAATTTATTTTAGGTTTGGTGGTCTATGTGAAGGTTTGGTGGTTCATGTGAAGGTTTGTTACATAGATGAACTCATGTCACGGGGTTTGTTGTACAAACTATTTGATCACCCAGGTACATTGTCCAGTACCCAATAATAATTTTTTTTCTGCTCTTCTCCCTCCTCCTACACTCCTATACTCTACCCTCAAGTAGATGCCAGTGTCTGTTGTTCTGTTCTTTGTGATCATGAGTTCTCATCATTTAGCTCCCATTTGTAAGTGAGAATATGTGGTATTTGGTTTTCTATTCCTCCATTAGTTTGCTAAGAATAATAGCCTATTCATGCTAATAACTCTCAATAAACTAGGTATTGAAGGAACATACTTCAAAATAATAAGAGCCGTCTATGACAAACCAACAGCCAGCCTCATACTGAATGGGCAAAAACTGGAAGCATTCCCCTTGAAAACTGGCATAAGACAAGCTGCCCTCTTTCACTGCTCCTACATAATTTAGAAAGTCCTAGCCAGAGCAATCAGGCAAGAGAAAGAAATAAAGGGCATCCAAATAAAAGTAGAGGAAATCAAATGATCCCTATTTGCAGATAATATGATTTTATAACTAGAAAACCCCATAGCCTCGGCCTAAAACCTCCTTCAGCTGATAAGCAACTTCAGCAAAGTTTCAGGATTCAAAATCAACGTACAAAAATCACTAGCATTCCTATGTACCACCAATAGCCAAACCAAAAGCCAAATCAGGAAAGCAATCACATTCACAATTGCCACAAAAAGAATAAAATACTTAGGAATACAGCTAACCAGGGAGGAGAACAATCTCTACAATGAAAATTACAAAACACTGTTCAGAAAAATAAGAGAGGACGCAAACAAATGGAAAAACATCCCATGCTTATGGATAGGATGAATCAATTTCATTAAAATGGCTATATTGCCCAAAGCAATCTACAGGTTCAATACTATCCCTATCAAACTACCAATGACGTTCTTCACAGAACTAGAAAAAACTATTTTAAAATTTATATGAAACCATAAAGGAGACTGAATAGCCAAGGCAATCCTAGGCATTTCTAATAGACAACATCTCAGGCACCTGCCAGCAATGCCTCTCAATGATTTGGTCATTAAGCATTCGCCTTTGCTACTTAAACTTGGCTTCCTGTATCTGGCTAACTCCAGAATCTCCCTGATGGTTTTACTTCAGTACTGCTTGCGAGTATTGCTAAAATAAGTCTGTGGTAGGGGCTCTAAAATCTGTATTTTAAAAAATTTCTGCAGAAGCTGAGGTAGACAAAATCTCAACATACTGGATAGAGATTTGAAACACCTGGCATATCCAGTGCCTCAGAGATGCTAATTGCTTTCTTTTCTTTTCAGTTATAAAATTAATATATTATTATAGAAATCTTAGAAAATACAATTTAAAATCCCATATTACTCATAAAATCAAAGCATAATATAATAACTATTAATAATTTCATTACCTTTAATTTCTCTAATATATGATCTATTTCATAAAGACTATATTACACATGTATATAGTATTGTGAAAATAGGTTCACATTATTGTATACCATTGTTTTATTTAAGATTTAATGAACATTTTCTCATAGCATTAAAAAGTCCTTAAAAATAGAATGCAATAATAACATTTTTTGATAATATGTGATTTATGTCATGGCCATTTCTTATCATCTAGTAGAATTTTTTTCTCATAAAAATACTGTAATTAATGTTTTTAGTTGTTTGTTAGTCTTTTCTTATTTTCTTAGGTAGAAAGTCAAATAAATATGCTAAAATGGAAGAGCTTTGTGAACCACAGCCAAAGCCCAAGCTGAGTTTGTCATTGCCCTGAGAATTTAAAAGGTAAGGAAGAAATGGACAAGGTTGTGTAGGAAGGTATTCATATATAGCTAATAAAATCTTAGGTTTTTCCCTTATAGAGAACAACTACAAAAATATGCACCCTCAGCAAGGCTGTATTTCATAAGTAAAAAAAAAAAAAAAAGTTATAGCCGAGTAAAGTGAAATTGTACATGTAACCTCAGCCTTCCTTTCTGCTTTTCCTTAACTGTTCTTTGTGACACCTATAGGCATTTTCAAAAGTTTATTGAAAGCTATCTCAAAGATGGCTAATCTTTGGCAAATGATAGTTTGAAGTCCATTTGATTATGATTTTTTTCTGAAAATAATAATTCCGATAATTCCAGTAGTGTGTTTGATAAATCCAGGTGCATAATTGAAGATAATTGATTTTGTATCTTTTATGTAGAAATGAAAACAACTTCAAGTACCGTGTGAAAATTCCTGAGTCAGTACTCATGTGATAAGCTATCAAGATCAGTTATCACCTCTACTGAGAATGCGAAATTTCTTTGCATGGCTTTTTTGTCCTGTTTCTTTTAAAATTTACTTATATTTACAATAATCCCTCCATGGCTTATTTCATGATGATCTTTCTACTTTCAATGCTTCTCCTAAATAGAATTTTCAGTTAAATTGGTGACTGTCTATACACTGTTTTGAGAATGTTAGAAGCTGGAAAATGGTTAAGAAACACTAGAATTATAAACCAAAATCTGAATATTGCTAAATATTTTCTGATTATGAAAAACCTACAGTTGGAATGGTATTTACATAAAATAATTGGTATTAAAAAGATTATTGGTAACATCCCAGAGTACACTAAAAGTTTAAAATGTGACCCTGGAAGAATTTATTTTAGTGATTAGTTTTTAATAACTATTTCTAGGGCAGTAAAGTTGATTTAACAGGAAAATAAAACAAGCAGGGTGAGAAGGAAGTAAAAATAAAATTGAAATATGGAGATAACATTTAATCAACATGTGTCTGTTGTGAAAGATAGGCTAGCAGAATGATGATGGTTCCACTTAATTTCCCGGGAAGGGCCTCAGGCTCCAGCAGACTTTGTGTATACCCAGTGTGCTAGGCTGGAATAAGCAGAAGAAGGTGTCCTGGATGGGCATCCATCTGCTGCCTAGCTAATTATAAAAGAGAGCTGGTTTTAACTGATGAAATGCTGGAAACACTAAGTTTTGACAGTGAGAGAGGATTTTGAAATTAGAAGGGCTACCTTAGTCTTCAACTAAATCTTATCAAGTGAAATCAGGTGACAGTGAAATCATTCTCAGCTAGGCAGCCTGCTGCTCCATATGTGTGGTTTTCTCATGGTTCTGCCCTCTACAATCCACTCCGCAGAGAAGGGCCTCTGTGTTTGTAAAGAGAGTAGCTGTGGATTATAATTAATTCCTTTGCCTGCCAACTGTACTTACATTACATGAGCAAATACGTACAATTTAAAATCAGGGTTTAAAAATTATACACTCCTAGGTTTAATTCTTTTAATTTTCCTTTTTTGGGGGGATGGAGTTTTGCTCTTGCTGCCCAGGATGGAGTACAATGGCACCATTGCAGCTCCTTGCAATCTCTGCTTGCTGGGTTCAAGCGATTCTCCTGCCTCAGCCTCCCGAGTAGCTGGGATTACAGGTGTGTGCCACCACAACCGGCTATTTTTTGTATTTTTAGTAGAGATGGGGTTTCACCATATTGGTCAGGCTGATCCCAAACTCCTGACCTCAGGTAATCCACCCGCCTCAGCCTCACAGGTGTAAAAGAAACTCTCTCATTTCACAAGAAAACTTGGAGAAACCATGTAGTTTACCTAAGGCCAAACAACTTATATGAATCAGAGCTGGCATTGGAGCCTTGGTCTGCTTACCCCAAGTCCATGTAATTTTATTAAATCATATTGCCACCTGCTTAGAGTATTTGATGGTAACAGAATGTCAACTGCTCCAGCAATTCACAAAATGTTAAACAACCATAATGGTTTTCAATGACCATTGACTTGTGTCAATTCAAGATACTATCACACTGTGATAGATAGAACCCTTATATCACAATACCAAATGCTTATAAAATATTATATTAAGTGGACTTTGTTTTAGCAGCAGTCTACATTCCATAAATATCATTCTACTAAGAATTTTAAGTTTCATTCTGAATATATGGCAAATTATTTGCCTCTTTAATAGTCTTTCTTTTAAAATATTTCCAGTTTACAATACCTCAAACTTGCCTTCCCAGTGTTTGTATATTTTATCACCAATACTTTTCATGCCTCCTACTCATTTATGTGATTTTGATTCTTGCAACTTTGTGTGTTCACACTGAAGACAAAGGCAAGGATTTTACCCTACATTTCCAAAATTTTTATTCTTTGGAACTTTGTTCTTATTCCCCTGCCCTATATTCATGTATTTATCATTGCTCTTATTTCACAAACGTGTATTATTGCCTGTTTTAGTGACATGTTTTTCAAAATAATGAAGAAATGAGCAGTTGCATAACTTAAGGCACATCTACTTCAGAGCAAGAGTTTAGCATTTTTCTCACTATTACAATTAATACCATGAATCAGTGAAGTTGAAATCTCTTAATGTGTTCTATATATTTTTAAGTGTATTTGCAAATGCTATATTATATGGTGTTTACACATTATATGGTATTAAGATATAGAGTATCTTATTGTGACACCTAAAGTCTCACTGTCTGTTTCTTAGTAAGAGAAACTGGGGAAATACGTTAAGTATACAGGGTTCATGAAGTTACTATTTAACTTATCAAAACAGTAATACAATGGTACATTCAGGAATTTTATGGGAAGAAATTACCTGAATACATCACTTAGCAACAACAGTTTCTCACTGAATAACCTGTTATATTGAGAAAAATAAGGATTGTTATTATGTTTTCTAGTACAATGCTTTTCATGTCAAGCAATAATCATAAACAACAAAATAGTTGCATCCAAATAATATATATTAGTATAATCAATCATATCAAACTACTTTTTCAGTCACACTAAAGCCCTCCCAGTTTCCCAATTTTCCACAGTCTCTCTTGTTTTCAAGCCATATCAGCTTCTTGGATATCTCCCACACATCAGCCCTCCAATGCCAGCCATCTATTGTCAAGCTGTCTCTTATTCTTATTTTTGTAGAGATGCAGTTTTACCATGTTGGCCTCAGCAGCAATTTAGCTCTGCTAGCAAGTTGTACTAATTCCTTATGAAATATATGGAATGATTTTACTAAAAGAGATGTCAGGCCACTACGATGATGCATTATATGAAATTAGAGAAATCTAAATATATGGGTAAAATATGTAACATTTATGGATTTGAAGGTTTAGTATCATCAAAAAGATTTGCTTTCCCCAAACATGGTTAATAAACTAAATACAGTTCCAAGAAAAATCTCTAGTTTTTTCTCAGAGAAACTGAAATGCTAATTCTTAAATTTATGTAAAAATATAGAAGTAATAATCAAGATAGTTTTGAAGAGAAAAAAGTTATAGCACTTAAACTACCCAGCACAAAGTTTCATTATAAATGTATGGTTTTAAAAAGTGCTATGACAATTGCACAATGATGGAAACATAGACCAGTGAAACAGATTAGAGTCTAGAAACAATCTCATACATATGTGGACAAAATTCATCATGATAGTGGCCCTGCAGAGCAGTCAAAAAGAATAATATCATCAATATGAAACAAAATATTAACATCAGCCCCTTTCTCATAATGATAAACAAAAATCAATATACATTTTTTAGATGTATAAAAAAAGAATTCTACAGCTTTCATGACTTTAGGATAGATACAACTTTCCTAAACAGGATATAAAAAATAGTAACCATAAATAAAATCATTGATAAAATAAATTATACTATAATTAGAAACTTCTTTTCATTAAAAGACACAATTTGGGGAATAAAATGGCAATTACAGAGTTAGAAAATATTTAAAATACTAAATATAATTAGCAAAGGACTTGTATCATGAACATTTAAAAAAAAAAGACTTTTACAAATCAAGAATGAAAAGACAGCCACTCTAACAGACAATGAGCCAGAGACCAGAAGGGGATATCCAAATTACCAATAAGCGTATGAAGAGGCTCTCAATGTCATTAAAATAAAGGAAACACAAATTAAAGTCTCCATGCTACATCTGGATAATTGATCAGAAATGGTAAATGTAGAGCAATCAACAACACTAAGTTTTGGCAATATGTGGCAAATAGACCTTTCACATGAAGCTGATAGAAGTGTAAAAAGGTACAACCATTAAGGAGAAAATATGTAGCTTTCTGGTTCAGCTGAAAATATAGTACAGCTGGATAGGTATATACATATTTAGATATGTATCTGCAGAAATGCTACGGAAAAATTATTGCCGTAAGTTGTTCACAGTTGTTTCATTATTATGTTTTAAGGCCTTAAGGATCTGTGGTGATGTCCCCTCTTTGATTCCTGATACCTTCTTTCCTTCCCCTCTCTCTTTTTCTGCCTCTCTCTCTCTCTCTCTGTCTCTCTCTAAATGTTTCATAGCAACTGCTCTACTGTAAACTTCTTCAGAATTCCTTATGCCTTCTCCAGAATTCCTTCCTCTTTTCTCTCTGGCTCAGCTCTTTATTACACAGATCTAGGTAGCTTCTCACTTGTTCAATATTTCTTTTTCTCTGCTTTCCAGATTCTTTATAATTGCAAAAGTTTCCGGGTATTATCCTGCAAGTAGGAAGGCTCATCCTTAGAAATCAGTGAATTATTCACTATTGAACGTTTCTTTATCCTTTTTACCTTTAAACTAACATGGCAAATTTTCTTGATAAAATTCATGTATACAAAGACTAATAACTGAACAGAGCCATCAAACAAACTTTAAACTTTTGGACAAATTTGGGAAATAGAATTTACAGATAAAAAAGAAAAAAAGGTCACATAAGTTTTTTTGTTTTTTCTTTTTTTATTTTCACATTTAGTTTTATTGTAACAAAGCAACTTGTACACTTACTTAAAATTGAGCATTACCTTTCCTTTCCAGTGAAACAAAAAGAAAATTTAAAAATAAACAAAAATTAACAATAGAGAATGTCAATTCCAAATAAGATTCTACAGGTTCTGCAGATTCTCCCATTGAGTGGCAGAGCTCAAGTCATCATTAGGAGATAATTTATTTTGAATGTGTCATCTTAAATTGCAAGGATGTCTGTCAAATATCACAATTAAACATGCCAAAGGAGAAGCCATGCTGTCAAAATGACCATTTAACCCACCCAAACATCTCAAACCTACCTTTTGCTGACCTTCTATAACCCCATATTTTTAAGTTATTTTTTTCTTTTTTTAAACAAGAGAAAGTAGTAAATGCTAACTGTCCATTTCACAGAGACACAGCACACTCTTTGAGCCCAATATACACAGAAAGGAGGGGAAAAGCTAGAATTTTATGCACGACTACACAGGGGCCTAGCACCCTCCAGCTTCCAGAAGAGTGAAGGGAGCAGATTTTCTTTTTTCCCACAGAGCTTGGTGGTGTTGATTCCATACAGTTTTTGTTCAGACAGGAAGGGATAAAAATGAACTTTGAACATAAATGGGTAGAGACTCTTTTCCCATTGTATTCTGCTCAAGGTATTTCCCCCAAAATAAGTTGAGAACCATAATGTGGAGAAAAGAGACCTCAAAAACAGGGAAACTGAGCACAAGAGGAAAAAAAAAATGAGTGCAATTTGGTCATGGAAGTTTTAATGGGAAAAGTGACTTTTTTCGGTGGCAGATGAGCAGAATGCAAGAGTTTAAAGAAAAAGTAAGTGCCCAGTATTAGATTCAAGAAGAAGAGGACCCAATAGGGAAAAGGTAAACATTTTATTTTTCAGTTTTTCTTGTGCAAAGCTTTTTCTTACCTCCACATGCTTAAAAAGAGTCTTGTGAAGAGACAGAAGAGTAAGAATTTGTCATGCTTTAGCTGGCTTTGTTTGCTTTGTTTGTAGCCTAATTACTCCGAGGGGAGCAAGAAAATTTGTTTAAGTGACAGGTATATCATGTTTAACTATTAAGTCATAAAAATAAAGGGTGAGAACATAGAAATAATCATAGGAAGTCTGCATTTTAAAAGTGTTTATTTTTTATTTTCTATAAACTGTTTTAGTGACACAATTTTTAGAAAAATATTTTGATTTTTCTCTTTCATTGCAGTTATTTTCTCATAATAACTTAGCAATACTCAGGATTCCTAAATCATGAAGCTTCTTCGCATAGCATAGCGTAGCATAGCATAGCATAGCATAGCATAGCATAGCGTAGCATAGCATAGCATAGCATAGCATAGCGTAGCATAGCATAGCATAGCATAGCATAGCAATTCCTCTTTATTAATACTGGGTCTTAATTGTTTGCAACATTCACATATGGCACTTTCAGCATTTTTTTGTTCATTCATGACTCATTCTATCAAGTCAAGAATGAGTCTAAAATCTGATAGAATTAAGCCATAGTAGAAATTCAATAACAATAACTTCCCCCAGAAATGGAAATAGTCACACAGAGGTTATGTTACAAGCCTATAAGTAGGTGTGCAATGGTGGAGAGAGAAGAGAATTAAAATATGCACTCAAAGTAATGATTATGGTGTGATAACATGATACCTAATCTCCCAGAGAGGGAA